TTGTGTTGACCCCTGAAGAGGGAGCAGCTCAAACGATGACCAATTTTCTGATATATTGTGGTAAATGTGTGTCACAATGTGCTGTTTAGGAAGCTGGAATCTGAAAAAATCAAAGATGTCAGTAATCACAGAGGTTTAAAAGATAAAAGACAAGGCTTTATTATTTAAATCTTTATCAATTTTAAGTCTTCTTGATTGATGTTTAACTTGTTTTATTTACTGTTTGACGATGCAGCTTTACAGTAGATAAGATTCTTGGAGCTCTGTGAGATTCCTGTGTTTTAAAGCAAAGCAGAAGGCCCAGGGTTGACTTCATGAAGAACACGAGGGCCTATCAGGAGCGTGCTCAGTCTGGCACGTTCAAAGAACAGCTGGCATAAGGAGGATTAGAGCTGAAACAAAAAAATCCAAAGGGGGGTGGGGGGTTATGGAGCATGCAAGGACAGTAAACAAAGACTGTGACTCAAAACTAAAGAAGCTGAATGGATGAAAATGGAGAAACACAAACACCAGGATGAGGCAACAAAGAGGATAAAAGAGGACACAGCAGGTTCTGTCTCCTCTCTGCTCCATCTCAAACCCCCGCCTCCCTCCAACAAACACCCATCGACTCAGCACTCGGAGCATCTCCAACAGACACATGCTGCAGATGATCGATTTCATAACAGAGGAGAAAGCTCTTTTGTCTAACCCCCCCATGTCTCACACACTGCAAAGCAAGAAAACAGCCAGACACAGACTCCCTACCGTCCGGGGATGGGGGCAGGTATGTTCAAGCTCCTCCATTGTTCCCAAAGACTCATGGGATGCAGCTGTGATGTGACTCAGCATCAGTGAGACGATGGTCCTCTCCTCCACTCTGCCTCCTCTTTCTGTCCCCGCCTACCCTCTGTCCTGCCTGTCTGTCTTCACCTACAACCTCCTCCTCCTCCTCTCTGATCAATCTGCTGCAGAAAACACAACACAGAAGAGGTCTCACTCTCTAGTTGTTCCCATGCTTCCCTCTGATTCTGTAATGATTGCGTTAGTTAGGTGTAAATGCTTTAAAAAAAAAGTAGAAGTGACCATAAAAGATTTATATAAAAGCAAACATGTCCCTTAGAATTCATTATTACTCATTATTTAGGTCATGAAACATATTTGTAAAAAGTGTTGCTTTAAGCTCCGAGTGAGGCATCATCTCTTTAGACGATCTCAGCGCTCTCCATGGCGACAGAAAGAGGAGAGAGAGCTCCAAAAACGGACCAATCAGAGAACGACCCAGAAGCGTAAACAGAGATTTGATGGAGCGTACCACAGCGTCATCATAGAAATGTTTAAAATATACATCAATTGGCATTTAGGTCAAATGAGAGCATCATTTATAACACGTAAAATATCCCTAAATGAGGGTTATTTGAGCACGTTTTAATATCTTTACATTAGGTTTTTCAAACAAAAAGTCACATGCCTTCAATTGATGTGTTTCTGGTAGAAGCTTAGAATAAAACAGGATAGAATAAGAGAGAATAAAAAGGTACTTTTTTCATTCTCTGAGGAAAAATAATTGAATGTACAAAAATTGTAGTTCATGTTAATTTTACAGTGGACAATGGGTGCTGAATTATAAACACACTTGAATAAAATGAATGACTTTAAAGATGAGAACGTAGTCAAAATCTTTACTTCCTGTTTTGAAATGACTGTCAGCGAGTAAAGAACTGCACATTGAACAACACTGCCACCGTGTGGACATATGAGAAGTAGCGCCGTCACCCCATTGGCTGAAACCTCTGTGATGTCACTTCCTGCATATGACTTTCCCCGGGAAGGCAGTTTGGCGCGAGCTGCTTTGTTGTGTTGACGTGCCGCCGTCGCTACATGAGCTAGCTGTCAGTTTGCGCACTGGAATAAAGACAAAACCGTAAAGTCATGGCTCCGGTATCAAATCCAGACAAAGATATGGACGTTCAGGACGGTGGTGAGTTTGCGTCTCGCGCTGCGCGTTAGCTGACGATCAGCTAATCTGCGCATCGAAGCTAACGCAGCTAGCTCAACCACCTGCTGCAAAGCTTCGCTGTCAAAACGTGTCTTGTAACTTTATTTTAAACAACTTGGTGTTCAAATAGAGGGTAAAACGACTTCGTAGCTGCGTCGGTAATCTTGTATAAAGCTAATCTAATGAAACGTGTCACTATGAGGCCTCTAATTTTGACAAAGCGCCACAAGTTAAAGTGCAGGAAGATCTTCAGCACAATGTGTCTCCTCAGATGACCAGGGCGGTTCTGGTGGCCTGGCCCAGTCTCGGTCCAGACGGGAGAAGAGGGAGAAGGTGGGGAGGAAGTCTGCACTGGAGCAGCTGAAGAAAGCCAAGATGGGCCAGAAGATCAAGTATGAGGTCAGACATTATAATGCTTGGTTTTTATGTTATTTTATGACAAGATAAAGTAAAAATACATAAAATAGTGTATTAAAATGTAGTTTGATTACTAAGTTATCATCAGTAAAATCCAATTTTAAGCTTTTTTTCTACGCCTAGTTTAAATTAATTACTAATTAGCAGTGAGTTTCTTCAGGATTGGGTACTAAATGTGTGTTTTACTAACAGGTTGAGGAACTTGCCAGCGTATATGAGGAGGTAGATGAGGTGCAGTACTCTAAGATGGTACGAGAGAGGCAGGAGGACGACTGGATCATTGATGATGGTAAAGCTCCACTGCAGGAATGTGTTACTGATAGATATTTTTATTGATCTCAGAGGTAAATGTAAAAAAGCCCAGTAGACTAAAACACTCAGCTCAGTCGTGATGTGAACAAAACTCCCTTTGTTCAACTGAATCCTAACGACGCTTCATCTTTCAGATGGAACGGGATATGTGGAGGACGGGAGAGAAATCTTTGATGATGATTTAGATGACGATGTGGTTGAAAAGAAAGGTGAGAAGTATTTTTTACTGTTTGTTTGAAGGTTCAAGGGTGAACAAACATGCATGAACCTCTTGTTTGTTTAAACAGGAAAGGGCGGCGCTAAAGGAGGAGATTCAAGGAAAACTGTCAAAAAATCCGTTGTCTCCAAACCCAACACCATTAAGAGTCTGTTCATGAACAGCAACGTGAAGAGGCCTGCGGAGGTGTGCATTTACACACACCGTTCTCACTTTAGGCTCACCTGTGACTTCATCACATTTCAGTGATTGGACTGTTTGTGATTTATTCTTTGTGTCTTTTCCAGAAAGATGTCGATTTGTCCAAAGACGACTTGCTGGGGGATATTTTACAGGACCTGCACGCTGAGGTTTGTAGTTGCAGCTAATGAACGTCAAGCTTCGGTTTAGCGTTTTCACCAATTTCGTGTTTCAGTTGGAGCCGGCTTGTTTGGCCTAGACGTTGATATTTGCGTTAATGTTTTTAGCTGATTTTAACCCAACAACTGCAGTTGTGTCGTTTATGATGACTCGTTGCTTTCTCTGTCTTTTGTTGTCCTCGTTGTGCCTGAGATATTCTTACGTTTTTGTTCCAGAAACCATCCGCCCTCACTCCTCCACCTGTGGTCACGCTAAAGAAAAAGAAGTCTGTGGCGTCGCCCATGAATCCCTTTTCCATCAAGCCGCAGATTTCAAAGGTAAACTTGAGTCTCGGAGATTTTCTACTGCTCATTCAATGTCTGTAAACTGAACGTGATGTCATCCTGTCGTAGCAGGAGCCGCCTGCAGCTACTGGGTTCAAGGCTAAAGGTGTCCGACCGCCGCCTTCAGATCCCACCCCCAGACCGTCGACCCGCCCTCGCCCCTCCGTGTCTGATGGTCCTCTGGAAGAGCGCGGCACAAAGCTGGAGGAGCCGACGAAAGCAGAAGGTTGGGCTGGTTTACAGTTTTGTAGTCTTTAGTTGTGTGAATAGAAAACAATGTTCTGTGTTGTTTCTCAGAACATGACTCCATGGCGTTGGAGGAGGTGGACTTCGATGAGCCAATGGAGGTCGATCCGGAGGAGGATAAACATGGAGTTAAAGAAGACGCCGAGTCAGCGCCTGAAGCGGTGACCGCAGTTCAGAAGGAGCCCGCAGTGAAACCCCAAGATCCTGCTCCATGGTGAGGATTTCTCAGATTGTTAGTTTATTCTCAGGCTGCGTTTGTTTACGTCTGAGGAGGACTCCGCCCACCTTCCACTGTTAAATAATCACAGAACCAACGATCACGTTCAGATTCGTGCAGTTTTCAGATAAATCTTTGATGTTCTAGGTCCAGCGGGGTTGGAGGTTCTTGGGGACAAGACGAGGAGAGCGGAGTCTGTGAAGCTCCTGCGGAGGTGCAGGTCGACTCCAGCCAGCTCCCGCTGGTGGAGGACGCCGACAGGGAGCAGGTCTTCCGCTTTTACTGGTTGGATGCTTTTGAGGACCCGTACATCCAACCAGGTGCGGCATAAATTACACCTGTATTTCAGAACAAACAACATCACGAGTCTGTTCAGATTTATCCTCACGTTTGACCTGAACTCTGGACCAGGTGTGGTGTACCTGTTTGGCAAAGTGTGGATCGAGTCGGCAAAGTTTCACGTCAGCTGCTGCGTCGCTGTCAAGAACATTGAACGCACCATGTACCTTCTCCCTCGTGAATACGTACGTGCTGTCTATAAGCTGAACGATCATATGTCTGTTTAAATTAGGGATGCACGAGATCGGATTTTTGGCTGATATGTTAAAACTTATTTGGCCGATAACCGATATATATTTGTTCATAGACCTACTTACAGAGTCTGCACAGCTTTCTCTGCTGTGGAATTAAAATGCTCCTTTCTTCTGCACGCTCTTTGTCAGTTTGTCCTGCGACCAAATGCAGATGCTGAAAATGATGCAACACTTCAACTGGGATTATGTTCAATGTCAAATTTATTCACGACATTTACTCTCTAACACAATGACATCACTCGAACTGAGCTAGTTTGTAAATGTTCACTAAACTCAAACGAGCAGCGAGTGAAAAGTAAATAAGTAGTAGTGCGTTAATAGATAAACTTGGTTTCTTACATTAAAAATGAACTTACTTGTTACTGTGCATGCATGCAGCTGCTGCTGAACTGGACAGCTGCGTCCTAAACGCACAAAGCAGCGTCACCGCAGCTCCTTCCTCCAGCAGCTGTTAGACCATCCCAACAAACTCAACAAGGATTAAATACGTGCTGACCTCTGCTCAAACACACTGTGCCGTCAATAGTCTGTCCTGATCAATGTTCAAACACATATTGAACAATATTATTGATATTGTTTATCTCGTTTCTTTATATATCGTTTTTAACATGTAGGAACTTTTCTGTGAATCTTTTTATCTGTTGCTGCTGTTACACTTGACTTTCCCGTTCGTGGGACAATAAAGTCTGTTTCTATTCTATATCAGTGCGTTTTCATGGAATGGCCGATATTTAACTTTATCGCTGCTATCGACCGATACCATGCCGATAATATCGTGCATCCCTAATTGAAATATTGCAGATGGAAGCAAAAGTTAATATGAATGATTCATGTGTGTGACTATAACAACAGTCGTACTCACAGCAGGTACGGGGGGTGTTTTTACTTCCTGTAATTTACAGAAAACCAACCCAAAGACTGGGGAGGTGTCGGACACGCCTGTGAGCATGATGGATGTTTACCAGGAGTTCGACCAGCTCTCTGAGAAGTTCAGGATCATGAAGTTCAAGTCTAAGGTTTGTGTTTGGATCATGGAATTAAAAAATAAGCATGAAGTCGTGTTTAAATTGGGTTTGTGTCTTTCTCCTGGCAGAAAGTGGAGAGAAACTACGCTTTTGAAATTCCCGATGTGCCCAGTCAGTGCGATTACCTGGAAGTCAGATACAGTGTGAGCACGCAGACCCATGAGCACCTCGCACTGTGCAGCTCTTTGGACGTTCAAGTCCTTCATGCTCTTTGTTGTGCAGGCTGAGTTCCCGGCGCTGCCCTCGGACCTGAGAGGAGAAACGTTTTCCCACATTTTTGGAACGAACACCTCGAGTCTGGAGCACCTCCTTCTCAGCAGGAAGATTAAAGGTCCCTGCTGGTTGGATGTTAAAACGCCACGTAAGTCACAAGCTTGTCGGTTTGTGCACGTTAAGCGCTTCGAGTTGACGGATGTGACTTCTCCACCTCAGAGCTGACGAGCCAGCCGGTCAGCTGGTGCAAGGTGGAGGCTCTGGCTCTGAGAAGTGACCTGGTCAGTGTGGTTAAAGACCTGCCGCCCCCGCCCCTCACCGTCATGTCCATCAGCCTGAAGACCGTTCAGAACCCCAAGACGCACCAGAACGAGGTCAGACACGGGCTTTACCAGAACAACCTCAGCGTGATGTGAATATATTAACAGTTCTGGCTTTTAACAGTAAAAATACGTTTTCCATGGAAATGTTGATTTATTTATTTTAGTCCAGTGAATCGACATTAATTAGTTTAAAATGAGCTGCTAATGAACTCATTCGTGTCTTCGCAGGTCGTCTCTTTAGCTGCTCTTGTCCATTATCAGTTCCACATGGACAAAGCTCCTCCTCAGCCTCCGTACCAAACTCATTTTTGTGGTGAGTTAAAACAAACAATAATGTTTTGACTTTTTAATACGTGCACATAACGTGCACATAACAGATACTCCTTGAAGGGTTACCACAATCCAGTTTCAGTAGCAGCTGATCGTGTAATTAAACAAGTTGTTTTGCTTTAAAATAAGATGCAGCTGCAGTTTGAAATGTAAAATGAGTTTCCATGGTGATGATGATGATGATGATGTCTTGTCAGTTATCAGTAAACCAGCTGACTGCATCTTCCCGTACGACTTTAAAGAAGCTGTGAGGAAGAAGGTGAGTGATCATGTGACATTACACCTGAGCTTGTCTAAAGGTTTAATTACAGCAGAGTTGTAGCTCAAGACTATCAATACAAGTGAAATGATAAAACACAACACTCCCTTCAGACAGGAGGAGACGACCGATCACACTTTAAAAAAAAACAGTTAAAATAACAGAAATCATGTTGAGAAGCCTGATCTCTGCGGAGATAAATGGGTTTCAGTCTGTTCGTCCTACATCTGGGCTGCAGATACCTGCGTCCAGATGTAGGACGCCTGAACTCACCATGGAGTGATGATCGAGATCTGCCAGAATCAGCCTGGCCTTGTTCACTGACCTCGCCTTGTGTAAGTCAGTGAGGTTCTGTAGGTCAGTGAGGTTCTGTAGGTCAGTGAGGTTCTGTAGGTCAGTGAGGTTCTGTAGGTCAGAGAGGTTCTGTAGGTCAGTGAGGTTCTGTAGGTCAGAGAGGTTCTGTAGGTCACTGAGGTTCTGTAGGTCAGTGAGGTTCTGTACGTATAGAAATAGAAGACTCCTCATTCAGTGAAGTCTCCGACCACAGGACCACTGGACCACAGGACCACTGGACCACAGGACCAGGGTCTGGGTCTTCAGTTTGGTGTGATGACACCAGGCTCACGTTGTTTATGCTCTCATTGTAACTGCACATCACGCACAAGTCCTCGCTCCCTCCTCACTAACAGTCGACCACAGCACCGATGACCTTCAGCCTCTGTTACCATGGCGATGAAGCCAGATGAGCAGAGTTGTGAAAACCCTTCTGTTGGATTAAAACATCCTCTGTTTCTTTTACTTACTCAAAGAAGACGCACTCTGACAGGTTTTCACAAAGGTCACTCCAGATGTGCACACGCGTGGAGCCCGGTCACCAGGACCTGCCACGGTCAGCGTGCCAGGCTTGTTTTTATAACCTTATCAGCTCACGGGCAGACGTGTCGTTGGAGTGCCAGCTGCACCTGCAGCATCAGATCAGCTCCTCGTCCTGCTCCCTCTAACTCAAACATACGGTTCACGGGCGCTTCTCATTCTCAACCTTGACCAAAGAACACCTTCTTGGTTTGTGACGCTGATGGTGCAACTTGCTGTCTCTCAGAATGGGAGGGTGGAGATGGCGTCCGCCGAGCGGACTCTGCTCGGCTTCTTTCTGGCCAAGATGCACAAAGTGGACCCGGATGTTCTGGTGGTGAGTCTCTCTGATCCAGATGAGGAAGCTGCTCTGGAGTTCAGCTCCGTTGTCCTTTCTCTGGAAAGTTAAAGGTGTTTGTTTGTCTGCAGGGTCACGACATCTTCGGGTTTGATTTGGAAGTTCTTCTGCAGAGAATCAACGTGTGCAAGGTCCCTCACTGGTCCAAGATGGGCCGCCTCAGGAGGGCCAACATGCCAAAATTAGGGGTGGGAACCAGAACCGGTGTAGTAAAAGTGTTTCTGTAACACACGAGTAAGTTGTTTGTGTCTTCCTGTGGTCCAGGGTCGGGGAGCGTTTGCAGAGAAGAGCGCGACCTGCGGCCGCCTGGTGTGCGACGTGCAGATCTCAGCCAAGGAGCTGATCCGCTGCAAGAGCTACCACCTGGCTGAGCTCGCCGCGCAGGTGCTCAAGGTGGAGAGAGTCACCGTGCCTCAGGAGGACATCAGAAATCTGTTCAGGTGAGCTTCAGAGCTCGTTCGTCTGCACGTCACCTGCAGCTTCCACCGTTCGGCTGAATGTTCTGATCCAAACCTGCAGCGACTCCCCTCACCTGCTCTACCTGCTGGAGCTGACGTGGACCGACGCCAAGCTGATCCTGCAGATCATGTGCGAGCTGAACGTGCTGCCGCTCGCCCTGCAGATCACCAACATCGCCGGCAACGTCATGGTGACTCACCGCCACTAAGCACCAACGGCCTCAGTGTTGCTGTAGTTGTTCCGTTTGCCTGAAATGAAACTGACAGTATTTGTTGAG